GTCGGCGGCGACGACGACGGCGGCGACGACGGCGGCGACGACTTGTCTGTCGGGTGAGGAGCCCCAGGGGGCGGTGGGACGAGGGGACCCGGGCAGGTGGGGAGGGCGTGTCCGCCGCCCGAGAGGGGCGGTTCTTGGGATGGCGGTTGGGGTGTGGACGGGCTGAGGCCGCCAGGCTCTCGGTCCCCGGTACTGATCCCGGCCACTGACTGCCTCTGGCCACTGGGCCGGTGGCTTCGGCGCGGCAGTGTGGGCACCTGCTGTCGCGGGCCCCGTCCTCCTCTGTTCGACGACTGCGGCTCGGTGGTTGGGAGCTTCTACCCTGGGGACCGCGGGGGGCGGTTCCCGGGGGCCCTGGGGACCCTCGTTTCTCGTTCGTGCCCGCGCGTGTTGCCTGCGGGACCCGAGCCTGGGGGCGCTGGCTTTGTCCTCCCGAGCCTCTGCCGCGCAGGGCATCTTGCCGATAGCGACCGGAGTGGACGCTGAAGGCGGCTCTGTATCCTGCACGGCCAAGTAAAACTTGCCATTGAAGAAACGTGTACTGAAAATGGGCGCACCTCTTGTGCTTCTGTAGGGTGTGTTCGCAAACTGGGTCACGCTCTGTCAGGATTGTCCTGTCGGTAGGTCGGGGGTGGCAGGAAAGGGGAGAGAAACTTACTCGCCCAGATATTTCCCTGCCGCTGTGCTTTTCGAACTGCTCATACATGATTGCTTTTCTTTTCTGGAACTCCAGGTAGAAATCAAAGGCTCCTGGCCAGGAAACCTTTTTACCATTTTCTGAATAGGAAAAATAGAAAATTTGAACTGGTCTTGTGTGTATTCATATATAAGTGCTTTATTTTTGCAGTGGTATTTTAATAGCAATGGTGTAGTGAGGTTTTATTTTTCAATGGTATTCTTTTAAATGGCTGCTAGAAATTTCTTTTGAGAGCCTGGCTGTTTCACACCCTCCCCCCTTAAATGACTTAATGAGAAACATTTGCACATGGAAATATTTAGTCTCCCGTTAATATAGAAATTTCCAAAAAAATACGAAGCCACAACGAAGAAAATACTCACCATTCCAAGTGACCATTGTGAATTTGGTTACACTTGCTATACACTCCAGTCTTTTTCTATGTAGAGATGAATGCTTGCGTTTCTAAAGTGGATTCTCTTTTATAACCATTTTTTTTCTGGCTCCATAGCTTGGCACTGTGTGGCTTTAGTAATTTATTTCGTTAGCTATTTCCAGTTTTTCACAACTTCAACACGTTGTTGGAGAAATGTAAAATCTGCACATCCATGATTACTTCTTTAGTGTACATTCCTAGATGATTGAATTGTTGGGCAGAGTATGCACATAAGGGGTTTGCTTTTTTAAATGTAAATTACTCAATTTCCCTCTGGATGGGGGTGGGGTGGGGAGGGTGGTGCTATTTTGCACTCCCACCAACAATCTGCCTGTCCTTTCTTACATCCTAGCAAAAGATAACATTTAAAGGATTTCTATAGGAACACTTTTAGGCCATTTATGTTCTTCCCTCCAACCAAGTACAGGTACCCTTTTCTAGCTATCACTTTTTTCCTTATTTGTTGATTGCAATTCAGTTTCTCCTGTCTTATTCCACCTTTACCACTTCAGTAAAGAAAGGTATTAGGTGAGGCAAAGGCATCATAGAATGAACAGATTTGAAGTCAGCACTTCCTTGAACTCCAGTATATCTGATTTCCTTGAAGGAGTCACATAACTTTTGTGAGGGATTTCCTCAACTCTGGATGAGAGATTATGCATTTGCAGGTTGGGTTTAAGGTCAAACGAGACATTTATGAAGAGTACATTTCAACATATTCTCTCTCATTGCTAACTATTGCCATCTTGTAAAAATTTCAAAGCCCAAAAGCATGTTGATTTCCAAATCAAATTTCTGAATTTGAAAAGCTGTTCTGTGGTGCCCTTTGCCCCTACACACTTTCGCTCCATAAATAGTGCTGCCTGCTCTAGATTTTATCCAAAGCAATATCAGAATTATGAAATTAGGTGAGTGAGTGAATCTGTACAAATGTTGGAGGAGTAAATCTCTGAAGGCATCGTATATAAACCTGAAAACTAAATGAAACACTATTCTTAGGGTCATGGTAAATACAACACAGCCTTTGTGCACTACAGGCTACAAAATGTCAGCTAAAGCGTCTAAAACTGCTTTCCAAATTTAGAGGACAATTTTAGATGTGATGCAGGATTGTCAACTCTGCTAGGGAGTGCTAAAGTCCAATTTTGCTGACCAAACATCTGTACAAATGACCGGGCAGTCTCTTCAGGGTCATCTTTCTGACGGTGGTGGGAGTGGCAAGGTGGGGAAATGATAGTATTGAAACTGGATTTTAGTTCCAGGTCCTTCATGAAGGGTGGATTGGTTTCTTCACCGAGGAAATAAGGGTATTTCCAGCTTCTTCAAAGGCTTGTACTAAGGGGAATAGCTCAGAGGTGGAGCATTTGACTGCAAAGGTTGTAGTGATGATTAAATGAGGTAGTGTTTGAGCACACTCAGTAAACCAGAAAGTATTCTGTGGTCATTCTTACCCACTGAAGTTAGTCTGTTTATGCTTTCTAATCTAGTGGGGTCGATTCTGATCATCTGTATTTTTTGTGATATGTATTTTTCTAGCAAATTATCCCTTTCATATGGGTTTTCAATTGTTTCAGGTAAGACCCTAAAGTTCTTCTAACCTTGTATGCTTCACGCCTACCAGTTGTGGGCACTTAGTAATGTTTGCTAGATTAACATATGATCACTGATTAAAAAAATTCAATTTGGAGCAGTGTGGAATATTGGGAGAATTTGACTACGGTATTTGGAGTTAATGTTAAGGAATGAAAGGAAACACTGAACTAGGTGGATGAGGCTCATCTCAGGACTGTCCTTCTGTTTATCTCCTTGCTGTCAGGCACACAGTCCCTTCATAGCAACAATAAATCTATTCACATTGCTCCCATTTCAAAGCCTCCTCCCTATTCCCTTATCACCCAGCCGACCCAGTTTCTGCCTCCCCTTCCAGCCAGAATGTTCGAAGTTGTTAATGATTGGCTTTCTTGGTGTCTTTACATTCCACTCAGTCTCAAGCCATGTGTTTACACTTTTCATCCTCTTTATTGGGTCTCTGGTATTTATCATGAAAGTCTCCTTTCTGGAAACATCTTTCTTTCATTTCTGGGATTCTGTGATAGCATTCTGCCTTCCTCATAAGATGTTCCTTTTCAGTTTCCTTTGTTGGTTCATCCTTGAAAGATTGGTGTTTGCCCTAAGCTTGATCCGTCCGTGGTATAGGGTTTGGGAATAATTTATAGAACATTGAGGCCACTATGTCTTCGAAGTTTTTGTTGTTGTGTCTTTCAAGTTTTGGTAGAATTCTCCTGTGAAACTACCTGGACCTGATGCTTTTTCATGGGGTAGTTCCTTACTAACTTTCTCTGCTTCTTCTATTGAAGTTAGTCTGTTTATGCTTTCTAATCTAGTGGGGTCGATTCTGATCATCTGTATTTTTTGTGATATGTATTTTTCTAGCAAATTATCCCTTTCATGTGGGTTTTCAAATTTATTAGATAGAAGGCTACAAAGTAATCTCTTATGATTTAATTTTTTTTCTTTTATTACTATTTCAGTGGCTATTTTCCCCTTGCTGTTTATTTTCTTTTGCTTTCTCCCATTTTTTTCTTAATAGCTATATAGTAGTTTATCTATGTTAATTTTTCAAAATCAACAGATTTTCCATTGTTATTTAATCACTACCAGACCTAGTTTTCTTTTCTCTTCCTCATTCTCTTCTACTTTTATCTTTACTTCCTTTGTGTGCTTTCTTTGTTATTTTTTTTTTTATTCCGTTGACCTTGGTTAGCCTCTTTTGGTACCAGCATCCTGTTCAGCATCCTCCTGGGTATGCACAATCCTGCTGACCAGCCAGCTTCCTATGTTCAAGGACAGACCAGTTTCTTCTCTGCCTCTGGCCCTCTACAGTCCAATCTGAAGTAGCAGTATGAATGAATTTATCTTCTATTATTAGCCTCTGATCCCCAGTCACAAGCCTTGCTGGTATTTCAATCTTTTCTCTCCTTCTCTTTTGTAAAACTGGTTCCTTTGGCTAACTTTGATTTGCTTTGTTAGGCATAGGTAAGTTTGTCTAAAAGAGATCATTCTCTATAAAGGACCTGATAGTAAATATTTTAGGCTTAATTAGTTGCAATCTCTGTTGCTGCTGAGTCTCTTTTCCACTTCCTTCTGATTATTCCTTTTTCCCCCTTTAAAAACACAAAAACCATCCTTAGCTTAGACTGTAAGCTTAAATTAAGTATTATTCATTAAACCCCTGAGCCAGTACTTTTCATTACTAGTTGATGTGCACTAAGCAATTGCAATAGTTACCTTTTAAAAATCGGCTTTATTCAGATATAATTTATAGGTTAAAACTATGCATTGCAGTGGTTTTTAAAATGTGTTTGCAGAATTGTGATACCATCTCCCTAATATCTGACCTAGTCTTGGAACATTTTCATGACCCCAAAGTTTTCTTTTTACAGCTTTAAGGTGTAATCAATATGTAATAAAATCCACCCATTTACAACAGTGAATTGTTTAAATTTTAATATTAGCAAAGGAAAATTAGTAATACATTTTAAAATCACATAATTGGTATATTTTCTCCCAAATTACTTTCATCTTTCCCTTTAAACCAGTCGTTCTGTGGTCCCTGGACTAGCAGTTTCCACATCACTTGGGGACTTGTTAGAAATGGAGCCCAGCCCTGGAATAGGCTCCAGCAATTTGTGCTTTAACCAGCATTTCAGGTAATTCCAACACACACGGAAGTTTGAGAGTCACTGTTGGAAGATAGATCCCTGATTGTACTGTTGTGGGTTATGAGCATGTTTGGCTTCAGTGGGTATTGCTGGCTCCTTCCAAACGGGGACCATACTCACGTGTACTCACCCGACCGTACATAAGAGTCCCTGTTGCTCCTCCAGCACTCTGGAATGTGCAGCTTTAATTTTTCCTTTTTTCGTCAGTCTAATAGGTGTGAAATGGTTGATTTTTTTTTTAAGATTTTATTTATGCATGCAAGAGCTTTGGTCTAGGCCAGAGCTGTGGGGGGAGGGGGTGGGGGCTTTGATAGTATTTACCAGAGACAGAGCAGGGAGCAGAACAGGTGGAGGTCTGCTGTGCCATGTGGGTCACCTTCCTGGCCAGGGATAGAACTCATACTGAAGTGGCTGGTGATAGTGTGATTGTGCTGAAACTTTAACTCCTGTGCCACCAGAGAAGCCCCCTGGTTATGATTTTAAATTTTACTTAACCAACTACTGATGAGGTTGAACCTCTCAGATGTCCAGAGGTCATTTGAATTTTGTGTTTGTGATATGCTGTATGGAGTCTTTTAGTTATTGAAGTAAATGCAGTATGTCAACAGATAATCACATTGTATTAATGACAAAATAATCCCAGAATGCCCAAGAAGAAAAACTTGGGGAGAAAAAAGTGTTAGGAAAGAGTCCCAAGGGAGGTGATGGTCAAGCAGACCTAAAGTAATAAGCATTTGTCAGGCAGAGTGAAAGAAGGTCATGGGTGCATAGGAACAGTGTGTCCTGCTCAGCAAAAGCCAGGAATATGATGTGGAATGATGGGGGTGCGTAGAGGAAGAGAAACACATGAGGCTAGGAGAAGGGCAGGAGGCTCCTAGATAGAATTTTTACTGATTGTTGGTCATTTAAGTTATAAGTAGGGGGTTATTATTTTTCTTTCCTATTATAAATAAATTGTTATGAACATTTTAGTATAGAGCGCTGCTTTTTTTCTTTTTAAGTTATTTTTGTAGGATATTAAGTTTAAAATTGTTAAAGTAATGGAAAGTGGGCATGATTAGTTTCATAATTTCTTACATATTTCAAGATTACCTGTCATTAGGGAAATGTAACTCAAAGTTATTATGATTCTACCCCACTAGGATGACTATAATAAAAAAGACAATAAAAATGTTAGTGGATATGGAAAAATTAGGACTCTTATACTGTGCTGGTGAGGATGTAAAATGGTGTGGTTACTTTGAAAATGCTTGGCAGTCTCTCAAAAAGTTAAACAATTATCATGTGACTCAGCAACTCTGTCCCTAGGTATATATTCGAGGGAAATGAAGGCATATACCCATATAATTGTTCATAGAGACATTATTCATAGAAGCAAGTCAAATGTCAATGGAGAGGTGAATCAACAATTTAGTGTGCCTACACTGGAATCTTACTCATCCACAAGAGGAATGAATTACTAATACGTGCTACAGCAGGGATGGATCCTGAAATCACACTAAGGGAAAGAAGACACCCACTAAAAACCACACTATTGTGTGATTATTTTCGTATGAAAGGTCCAGTAGTCCAGTCCAATGACTAGAAAGCTGATTAGTGCATGACAGGGAGCTAAATAAAGGAGAGGAATGATTACTAATGGGGTTTCCTTTAGAGGTGATAAACATGTTGTCAACACAACCTTTGGGCTTATTATTTTTGTTAACCTTGTATAAATTTGAAGTGATACCCAATATTTCTTTGGTTAAATTATACACTCCTTCATTAAATTAAAAGTTCCAGGAAGTTCCAGAAGGTAGGCAGTTTTGGCCTTTTTGTTCAATGCTGAATCTCCAGAGTAGTGCTGGGCAAATAATAGGTACTCAGTTATATATGCTGAATAAATTCATTTTGATAGTTTTATTTTTGTTTTTCCATAATATATTTGAATTAATTGTTCTATCTAGTGTTTTTTGAAAGAGGCAATGTGTAAGGTAAATGAATGGAATGTGCTTTTCCTAGTGAATGATCTGGTTCAAATCTTTTGAGTTTATGTGATTTACCTTTACTTTGAAATTCATTATAGCTTGCAAAACTATGAGGATTCCTTTTTTTAAACTGATGTCCACATGGTGATGATTGCACTTTTTGTATCATTCAGTGAAAAAGCTGCATGGTGATAAGAAACCACTTAATATTTTAACAACCACCACAGACTCCTAAGAAATTGTGATCAGATGTTATACTATGTGAGCCATATACTTACTATAATGAGATACACCCATTCTTAACTTGCTCACTTACTCTGTGCATAGTTGCTGTATGCATTGTTCATGAGCCCATGCATTAATTTTGGAAGTTGCCAGGGATTTGGGGACAGTAAGTTGGGAGCTACTTAATTGTAGAATCAGAACTGAGGAACAATACTGAGATGTAAGTAAAAGCGAGTACAGGAAATTAGACCCTTCATCACATATTTTTAAGACTTCGTTCCTAAAGCTATCATTTTCTTTTTAAGGCTGAAGAATATTTCCAAAATAAAATTTCTTTTAAAATGTACTTACTTGACATTATTTTGGCAAAAAGAAAATCAGAAACAAATGTCTAATTGTACTCAATTATGTTTTGGTATATTTGTCTGCTGGAAGTTAAAACAGCAGTTGAGTACTATAATTAGGCTTTGTAATTCTTATTATCAAGCAGTTTACAAAGCAGGATAGACCAAGTATTCCTAAACATTTTGACTATGATTATATGAAGTATTCGTGTACATGCAAAACATGGAAAGGTGTAGTAGTTGTGTTCATTTGGAGGAATTCTGGGCCATATTTTCTTCTTTATTTAATAATACTGTGTGCCAGGCATTATTCTAAGCTTTTAAAAATCACTTAACTCAGGGATCATCAAACTGTAGTACATTTGGCCTACAGGACCTCTTTTTGTATGGCTCATCAGTGGAGAAAGGTTTTTACATTCTTAAAAAAAGATGATGATATGGTGGAGGTCTTATATGGCCTGCAATGCCTAGAATGGTTTCTATTTAGCCCTTTACAGGAAAAGTTTGCTGACTACTGATTTAATTCATTTAACCCTTAGACATTCCAGTAAAGCAGCACCTGTTACCATCACTCCCATTTTACAGATGAGGCGCAGAGGACTTAAGTAACTTTGTTGGTGGCATTCTGTTTTTTAGAGCAGATTGCAGGTGCTTTCTACAAACTTGCTAACACTCTGTTTCTTTGCAGCATAAAAAGTGGATAGTGACTCACGTGTCAGAGGATGGCACGGTCACGCTCTACATCCCCCAGGTGGAGTTACAGGTGAGCAGTTCTTAGTTTAGCGGAGTAAGAGTGGGGTTGGGGTGCACTTCAACTGTCAGTTTCATGAATACTCTTAAAACCTATTTTAATAATTTCATGGGTTATTCACAATAGGTGTTTCATAGTGATAGAGGTCATTTTTCTGGGTTCTGGGGGCTGACAGCATTATTTACAATAGTTTATGGCAGGCAGCTAGAATTAACCCATAATAAAAAAAGTTGCAGAGGCCTATACAAGGGAGAGAGACATCTTTGAGCGTACTTTATTTTTTGCATAAGTAAGTAATTTAGAACTCTCCTGTGTGTGTGTGTGTGTGTGTGTGTGTGTGTATGTGTGTGTTTCACAATCAGTGTGTTGAAAGAAATTGGGAGTTTCCTAATTTTTATTCTTCGTGGGAAAATAATAACGTTTTTAACTGATCAGTTATAGATCGGCCCTCCCCTTTCCTGGTCGGTAGCATCAGTGGTATAGCCAATCATATTGGAGCAGTTCCACAGGTATTTGTTGTGTACCTGCTGTGGGCAGCTTCTGGGGCTGCCAAGGCAAATAGAGCATACTAAAGAAGTCTCAAAAAAACACATGACAGGCCCTCCCTGGTGGCGCAGTGGGTTAAAGCAGAGCATTAAGAAGCTAAAGTCACTTCCGCATGAGTTCGAGTCCCGCCTGCCCCAGAGGAGACCACATGGCGTGGCAGACCTCTCCTGACCCACCCGCTGCTCCCCTCAGCAATGTACTTCGTCGATCTGCCTGTTCTGTTCCCCGCTCTGTCCCTGGTGAATCCTCTTACCCTCCGCATCTCTGGCCTGTACCCCAGTTCTGTATGAATGAATAAATAAATCTTTTTAAAAAAATGACATTTTTAGCTGTTCGTTTAAGCATGAGTTGAATTTCTAAAGGCAGCAAGAAGGAAAAGATTCCAGTTTAGGGGGACAGCAGGAGCAAAGTCACAGAGCTGTGAAAGTGCTTAGGAAGCTCTAGAACTTAAACAAGGACCATAATTAGTTACATAAAAGCAGACCAGGATTTTTCATGTTAATATGACTTGGCCGTTCGGTTAGTTCATTATAGTTCTGTAATGAGTAGTTAATCAATCAGTCTTCAGCAGTTTTCATTTTGTAAAGCACCAGAGCCTCTTCAGAGGCTCACGTTGTAAAGGAGAGGAGCTTCAGAAAGAAAGAAAAGGGAATGCAGAGAAGGTGAACGATTGCACATGGTGGGCATCACAGGGATTGTTTTGGTTCTCCCTTTTGTGTAGCCCCTGGTAAGGGGGCATAAAAGACCCTGCCACACTTAGTGTCCGATCTTTAGATTCCATCTCAGGACTTTGGTCAAAGCTGTAAAGAGTCTGATAGTTCACCCTACTTGGGAGCTAACATAGTAGCCTGCCATGAGGTACTCGTGGGTGAGACATGTAGACCTTTATTACTGATAGTGCAGCAGGCAGCCTAAGGTTCACTTTCCTGTGGAGCCGAATCTCCATCTTCCAGGCTGTTTGTCTTGGAAAACAAAAGTTTTCAGTTCCTCTGCTTACAAGGTGTGCAGGATGCCAGAGACCCATGGAGAATTGTCTCCCAGCAGATTTCCTGGGTCTCTTGTCCCTTCGGGGGAACTGAAAAATGCTAACAACCACTCTAGAACCTACCTCAGAAGTGGGCGGGCGGGGTGGGGGTGGGGGGGTTGTACAATAAAACAGTGGTATGAAATACAGCCTCAAAGTGGTGTTCCACGGGAGGCGAGGCGCGGGGTAGGAGATTGAGTATCGCATCCAGTGTGCTCACCTCTGCCTCTTGTTGCCAGCTTTGCTCCTTAGCAGTTGAAGAGGTGAAACCCTCCACAAGTCTTCAGAGCCTCCAGTTACCTTTTCCTTGATGAGGTGCAACCAGGTGGATGGTTGTCAGACTTTCTGCTTCAGCTAAATAACACACTTGCCTAGTATGTTTCCTTGGGTGACCCCAGAGGAAGGTCTTGCCAATCAATACCAGTATGAGTACCAGTCTGTACTTGAGGAAGCTAAATCTGCTTCCTTTCTTGTATAGAGGACACTGTCGACAAATGAAAGGGCTTTACTCATGGTTGCTCCAGTTGCAGGACCACTTCTGAAGATAGGACAGTGACAGACTGCAAGGGCAGCTTCCTATTGATTAGAAGACATTAAACTCTCAGAGGGAAGACTAGGACCTTGGACAGATGGGAGGAAACATCCCCACCTGGAAAACTGAACTTTATTGTGTTCCTGATAGTGGCCAACCCAGACAGGTTTTCCTAGATGTAGGTGCCTTCCCCCTCAGTGGGAATGAAAGTCTCCACATTGGCAATACTGTGGTGATGGAGAAGGCGATCACAGAAAGGATGCGCCATCCAGGGAGCGTTGCGTTGCAGCACATTCACCAAAGTTGCACGCTCTGTTTGAACAGCGCTTCTTTCATTGGGTATACAAGCGGACGGGTCTGGAAAAGAAAAGCAACTAGTCTGTGTTAGTACGACTTACAGAGGAGCTGAGCATGAGATTCAAGTTTGGGTCTTCCCACTGTTCCATCCCTCCCTGTTTGCGTATATTATTCTTGCTCTTTGTTGCTTTCACAGAGCGGCTAGCCAATCCGTTGGAGAAACTGTAGTCAGTCTTGTGACTGAGTTTGAGTTTGCTGTGGCATCATAAGCTCTCAGAATCTAATTTAATTTCAGGTATCGTGCTCAGTTTGTCAGAGTCTCCCACACATTTCTTTGTGTAGGTCGAACCTTCCATCTGCTTATTTCTTACCTGACCATTGAACCTGATGTAAGCTTTTGCTTACTGGCCGTTTTGCCAAAACATGCCATCAGCCATCTTGCAAAGTGGATCCTGCTATGTTCCTAAGCTGTTCCTCCTCCACCAGTGATTGTGCTCAGTCCATTTGATATGCACATGGAGTACATTAGTTCACATATAAAGGATGTGCTTGCTGAATTGGGTATAACCACGATCAGACCCCCAAAGAACAATTTAGAATGCAGATGTAGCAAATTGATAAATTACATTTGAGTGGAAGAAGCAGTGGAAAGCAAATATTTCAGTAGATCACAGTAAGACAAGTGTAGTTTATTACTTCTCAATGAATTAAACCTTTATGTTTATTTATATAGGTCCTTATCACCAGCACCTAGAAATTCTGAACACTACAAGCAAAGACATACTTATGGACTATATTATGACTGTGAATATAGGAAAGAGCCACAGAGGCCTGTTGCTTGGAGAATGGACAATGAGCAATATGGACAGAGTAAACCAAGGATTCCTCCTCATGGAAATATGCATTACCGATCTTATGAATATCGATCACCTTCCCCAAATTTAAGAAGAAACTCTTTAGAAAATGTTTATTCTTATAAGTCTCATGGAGCATATTCACCAGGAAGAGGGGACAGTAACAGAAGATCTCAGTATGTGCCCAAGTACTCAGAAGATGTGCCCTACAGTTCCCAGAGGAATTGTTATCCCCAGAATGTGCAGGGAAGATACATTCCCGATGACCACAGAGTGAGAGGAAGTGGAAAAGCAGGGAAGCCACCTCAGAGGTCAACAGCAGATTCTTACAGATTCGAAGAAAAATGGCATGAGGATGACTTGAGGCACCAGAGGGTAGAAAATGAAAAATATTCTCAGTCATTTAGAAGAGGACCTGAAGATTTTGAGAAGTGGAGCTCTTTTCAGAAGAGGTATGGGCAAATGGTAACCCTGGGTAACTTGGTATAAAGTCTCAAGAGAAAAGGTCTGTTTACTTTATGGTTGAGGATAACCACCTTGAGAAGCTTTTGTCTAAAAAGTTAAAAATGTAATGTCATCATGGGCTACTGGTGGTAGGTAGTAGTGAAAATATTTATTTTTAGAATAAATCATGTTGATGTCTGGAATATTTTTTTAAGATTTATTTATTTATGCACACAGAACTGGGGTACAGGCCAGAGGAGTAGGGGTGGTGAGAGGATTCACTAGAGACAGAGGGGAGCAGAAAAGGCAGATTGAAGAAGTACACTGCTGACTGGAGCAGCAGGGCGACAGGAGAGGTCTGCTGCGCCATGTGGATCACCTTTGGGGCCAGGGATCAAATTCGCACTGAAGCAGCTGTGGCCAGCTTACAGTGCTACGCTTGAACCCATTGTGCCACCAGGGAGGGCCCCAGACTATTTCTAAAAGATGGTATTTTCCTCTAACTATCCTGTGCCTCTGTGAATTGGTTTGAGGGATTACAGGTTAATTTGGTACTGCATTCTGCACTTAAAGTCAGGTTGCTGGGCATTTCACATATGTAAATTCTCTTTTCTCTAGTGCAAGTGTAAACTGCTTTATGTCAACACAGGTATCCTGAGGACCGTGATTTCAGACAATATGCACACTCATCAAAAAGACCTAAAGATGTGGAGAGGTATGAAAACCGAGAGTCTGTCAGAAACCCACAGTGGAAGTCTGGGCATTCTCTTCTACCTTACCAAGAAAAGAAAAATCAGTGGAACATTGGACCCCAAAATCACCGACACCCTCAGAGAGTACCTCCAGAGTCCAGTTCAGCAACTAGGATATCCTGTGACTATCACCACAAACGTCACAAGACCTCAGATGGAGACCAGGACTTTCCTGATGGAAGATCTCAGAAGTACTCCAAAGAGGAGGACAGAAAATACAGTTCTCAAAAGGGTCCTATAAACAGAGAGTCCAGCTGTTTTAATGTTGGGAGAGGAAGAGAGACTGAAGGGGGCCAAGTCAAAGAACCTGTGAAGCCATCTAAAAAAGGCAGCGCAGCCAGTACTCATTCAAATAAAAGTGATGATGGTTTGAGGCCCTATAATGACAAACGGAAGGACAAAGGAAAGAAAGAAGGGGGTGACAGAAAGGAGAGCAACTGTTCCAGTAACCAACTCGCTAAGACGTTTTCTGACATGAAACCTTCATCTGACTATCTTAGGAAGAAATCACTTACAGTTAAAGTAAATGTGAAGAAAACAGCAGATACATTCAGGTATTATCTTTATTTTTTCTTAATGATGTTTAATGAATATTTCTGTTGTCCGTTTTATTTGAAAGTGGTATTAGTAGTAGGTTAGAGTCCGCTGAGAAGGGAGGACATCTCAGAAATGCCCTGTAATGAGGAGGAATCCTGTGATTAGACCAGGTGAGCTCTTTTCTGCTTTCTCTACCTGTTGCCTCAGTATACTTTTTTGATGCAAGACATTCTATAGAGTTGTTCCTTTTCATGAATTTACATGTTCTTATGCTGCCAGCATTTCTGTATCCAGGATAGACAGGTTGGG